AGGTGGTGACCGACTCTTCTTCGGCGACTTGCTTCGCCTACTGTGTCGTGACTTGCTTCATTTTGGCGACTTGCTCTTTTGTCGCCAGTGTTTGCTGCTGCTGCTCTTTTCTTCTTCTCTCTTTCTCTTTCTTCCCTGGTGTAGCTCTAACCTTGACCCGGGAGCCTCCTTTGCCTTGATAAACTTGTCGGCCTCTTCAAGGAATGCCTCCATGGTCCTAGGTGGGTTCAACTCGAGATGCCAATGGAAGTATGCATGGCGAAATCCCTTTTGGGCCGTAGTGAGCTACACGGAGCGGTCGAGGTTGGGTACTTGCAGTCTCTTCGAGTTGAACCTTTTGATGTAGCTTTTGAGGCACTCGTTCTCCCGTTGGACCACGCTCAGAAGGCTCGCCATTGACTTCAGACACTTCTTACTAGTGACAAAGTGGGTGTTGAATAGGTCCACGAATTGCGCCCAACTCTTGATCAATCCCGGAGGTAGGTTCCTGTGCCACAACCTAGCTGTGTTTCTGAACGTCATCGAGAATGCCATGCAGAGGCTGGTGTCGTCCACCCTAGCGAGCAACATTAAGGACTGGAAGCTGTCAACATGGTCGTTGGGGTCAGAGTTTCTATCATATGTCTCCAGGGCAGGCGTCTTGAAATTCTTTGGTCTCAGGGCCGAGATGATTTCTAGTGCCAGGGGGGAAGGCCGACTCAACAGAATAGGAGTCGGCTCTACAGCTACTGATTTCACTTCTTCCCTCCCCTTCTCTACCATTATTGCCGGGGCACTGCTCTTCGCTGAGGTGCGACGCGCTTTGTGACGACGTCGCTTGTTAGTTGCTTCCTGATTGGTGCTATTCACCGTAGTGCTGGTTGGGACCTCAACCCTGGTATTCTCTCGATCTTGGATGTTGCCGCTAGGAGGGAGGTGATATTTATTGCTAATGTTCTCACGAACGCGAGCCGGGTCCTGACTGTTATGGGGAACCGAGGGGTCCCAAGCTGGGTCCACGCCTCTTATCCCGGGCTGTTGGTTGTTGACTTGTTGTTCATCATGGTGGTGTTGTTGGTCATTACGCGATCGTTGATGTTGATCGCTATGACGGCTACATTATGGCTAGTTTCTCTGATCCGCAACCTACCGAGGTGGCGATGGGCGCTGACCTAGTGAGGGGTCCTGAGGTGGTGTCTGGTGATGAGGTGGAGTTGGGACCCTAGGAGGTGTTTAGCGTTCATTGTGGTTTTGGTCCTGATTCTGGTTCTACTGATTTTGCTGGAGAGGTGGGAACTATTGTTGGTAGTGGAACTGCTGATATTGGTATTGCTGGTACTGGAACTGCTGTACTTGCTTCATTTGCAACTGCATGAGTCGGATTTTCTGCATTAACTCATGGAACTGTCGAGCATCTATCCTAGTAGGAACCACAGAAGGCTCTACAGTTGGGAGAGTGATACTCACATGAGGCATGGGGGCAGTGACTGGCTAAGTGACGAAGGTCTAGTTCTGAACCACCAATACCCCCGGAATGGCAAGGGGGATGGTGAGCCGGCCAATGGTTACTAAGGGGAACTCAGGGTTAAGCAGGCTGATCCTGCCCCCCAATGATAGTCACTTCGGTGTTATTTCCAATGTTTCTTGATGATGCCATTAGTAAAATGTTGCAGGAAAAGTAAAGTAACTAGAAGTGAGAACTTAGCTTTTTGTCGCAGTTCCCACAAACAGCTTCAATTGATGGTGTGTGATCTGGTTGCTCCTAGCTAGAGGGTAGCTTAGAAGTCAGTTGCTTAGCTGGTTGATCAAACTATAAGGAAGTAGAGCTCAGAGGACCTGGGGTGGCTAATCTAGTGTGGGCACTCTGATGCTTAAGTTAGTATAATCTGTGTGCGAGCTGAATGCTTGATAGCAAGAAGGGTATAATGCAATAAATCGTGCATACCTTATGTCGTGGGTCTCACAAAACACCTCCGAGATCCTCGGCCTGCTCTGTTAGGAGTCTGTTCCGTACCAGAAGGTGGACTTCGTGATAGCCAATAAGGCTTATCGAGTCTGTTCGATCTGGGCGAGAAAAGGATAAGGCCCATAGTCGTGTGGCGTGATACCGAAGAGCTCGGAGATAGCTAGCTTGCTTCTAGAAGTTTGCTATGTGTCACTTCAGCAGGTTGGGCCATCCCGGGCTACTCGGATCTCGGTCCTAGATGAAGTGCCCGAGGTACCAGGGGCAACCTGGCCTACTGAGGTGGTAGAAAATGCCGAGTCATTGTCCAATCAACAGGTTGTGTCCACGTGTCCGCTATTTAGTAGGTTGGACCAAATCACCCCTCATCAATTCTAATTATGACTACAAACCAAATGGACCCTAAAGTCTTTTTCTTCTTGTCTCCCTTGGTCGTGGCTAATGCCTTTATTTATTTATTTCGCTGGATAAATTTTTAGTTTCAAAATGTGGACTAGTACATTATTGTTATGTAAATAGGGCCTTTAATACTACTGCACAAACGATGTTTGTCAAAAATATTGGCCCTAAGTCATCCTACTGACTAAGGGTGAGCCAATGGGTAGGTTCTATCTAGAACCAAATGGAATTGACTTCGGTCTGGTCTTGAATTGACCTACTCAATTTGTTACAGGGTAGGGTCTGGTTCCAAATTCTTGGAACCAACCCCAACCCAAGCCAGCCTTGGTTGGCCCTACTTGAACCGACTTGATGAGCCAGCCTTGGTGGAACCGACCTTGTTGGAACCTGCCTTGGAACTGAACTTGCCTTGAAATAAACCCTACAATACTTTTGGGGATGTAAAGATTTGAACCCGAGCATTCATGGTTACAAAGGCCATGGTCTCACTTGACCATTGAGTTATTTAAGTGATTTGATAATTTGTTTTCATTTTAATATTTTAATGTGTACAATAAGTAGCGTAAAGGGTAATATATACAAAATTTAAATTTAATTTATGTTTTTAACCATATAATGCTAATCTACGTATTATGTGATCCAATTTAATCAATAAAGATAATATAAGTATTAAACTATATTATATTTATTAAAAATCAAGGTTTAAAAGAACATGCTCTTTTCTGTGAAGGGGAAAGTAAAGAAAGTAAAGGTTCCATGGATAGACCTTGTAGCCAACCTCGAAACCACTAAGGCTAGAACCAACCCCTATAGGGTAGATTCCAGGTTCTGCCATGAAACCGAACTGAACCGGCCCATATTACTGCAACAAACTCCTTTGTAATCTCCTTATTTTACTTATCTTACCTACTGTAACAAACTCTTTTGTAATCTCCTTATTTTATTTATTAAAATCAAAAACAAAATATAGATAAAGGCATAAAGCTCATTGAAGTAAGTTTTAGGGTCATTTACTAATTAATATATCTTACAATTTACCTTATAATTTGTGTCTTACTAAAACACCTACTATAGTTACTTAATCCATCCTCTATAGATGGCATTGGAAAATAACAGTAGACCAAACTCGTAAAACTTCCAACAGAGTGAATAGAAAGGAGAAACATATAAAACCATCACCATGTAGACCAAACTTCTGAAACAAGAAAATGGTAAAACTGAGCACGGGAAGAGAAATTAAAGAGATGTCTGGATAGGGTGCTAAGATTTCTGAAACACCAAAAAGGTGAAGGGAGTTTTGGTCATTTTATTAATTAAAATAAGATGGTGATTAACAATCTAACCTTATGATATAGATCTAAAGTTAACCAATGTGATTAAAGAAGATCAAATGAGGTTACATAAATGGGGAAGCTAAGAGGATTCAAACGAAATTTCATAACCGGTAGGGGCGTATTGGTCTTTTTATTACTTTTTTTTTTAATTTTTTTTTCAAAACCAATTCAGGGGAGCTGGTTTAAGGCTCCTCCACCCCCTGAACCAGTCAGAACTCTGATACACTCTTTGTAGGGGCATATCGGGGTGCTCCCAATACATGTTGATACTTTAAACTTTGGGTATAACTGCCACATTCCCATGCTGTTTGGACTGGTTTTTACTATTTTTTCGTCTGAAACCAGATCTGTGCAAAGCTTTATACGAATTATTTGGTATTTTTTTAATTTTTTTTGCATATTATTGTGAACGCCTTTACTTTTTATTTTTTATTCTTTTTGCATATTACTGTGAATAATATGTCATTACTTGAACTTTTAAATTTTTTTTGCATACTACTACGAAATTGCTTTTTTTGGAAGTACCTCTGGAAAATTGTGTTTTATAAAACTAATAAGCATGGTGTTTGATAAATAAGTGCTTATTTATGAAAATAAACCTATTTTTAAGCATTTATTGGAATAAACTGATAAGTGCTTATTCTTGAAAATAAGACCTTTTGAATAAACACCAAAAAAGTGCTTAATTCTTAATAACTTAATGCTTTCTTACCCATCTTGGTCCGTCAGTAATTTTTAAAATACCCATGCTATTCCCTTTTGAAGGAAGCACATTTTCACCAAATACCGGTGAATAAGCATTATTTTAACAATTAGTATGTATTTGGTTCCATGGGTGTTTACGGATAGGCCGTTTATTTGTATTTTTTCATTTAAATGTTTATAAATTTATTTATACTTTTTTACTTTAAGCGTTTCCTGTTTTTATTGTTTGATTGGATTTTACTTTTAACGTTTTTTACTCTTTACCTCAGATTAATACCCATTAAAGTATGCCATATCAATATTTGGTTTCAAGAAACACTTGTGTATTCGGGGAAATAGGAATTTGACATTTCCCTAAATGTTTCATGTACAAAAATCAAAACATTTCAGTTTTTTTATCATTTTATTTAATAAATTATTTTATTTTGCTTTATTTGCAATAAATACCAATGCCTATATAGTACCGATGTAGTAGGGTTTCAATAAAACGCCTACGAAACCAAACACAGCCTAAATAATTAACAGATCACCCAAAGACGGGCTAAATTGTAAATTCTCCGTCCGATTTAGAGTCGGCCGGTTAACGTAATTTCTCATGTTGTTAATAATCATTTCTACAATTTATCTATGTTCAATTGTTCCTCCACCTCTCTCTGGACGGAAACAAATCAGTCGTATCATACAAACAAGAACAGGATCCTCTTCCGGGCTCGGACTATTATGCAGCATTGCCATTGACGATCGAACGTGGCGTGAGGGCATTGGCTATTCTGCTTCTACAGTCTACACCAATTGAATTGAAATATATTTCGGCTTCCGGTTCAGAATCGAGAATTGGTTTTCTGTCCTTGAATTATGCATAAAACAGCTCAAGCTTGGTTCATGGGGGGACCCAGCAGCACCGAGCAGAAATCCTCGTCTCTGCTCGCCGATTGGAACTCCTACGCCTCCTCCAAAGCTTCCGAAGAGAGCGGATCGTCTAGTCTAGGGTTCGATCTCGAGTCCGCAGTGAAGTCTGCCAACGAGAAGGTCACCGGCACCTTTAACGTGTTAGTCTGAAACCCTTCCTCAAGTTTATGGTTTCCATTTTGTTCCTTGTTCTCTGTTCTTCCATTTCTGGTTTTTGTCCAAGTTTTGCTGCTGTATCTAAAATTCTGAATTGCATTGGATTTAGATATTTTCCCTCTTTTGCCCCTCTTTTCCGTTTTACGTATACAGTGATAGTTCGTTATAATTTCAGTTTCAAACAATTCAATATAGATCTATTTGAACTGGATCTCTGAGAGTTGAACCGGTGGAAGGCAACTGTGCAAGTGCAATTTTTTGTGCCTCATTTTGTCCTGGTGAATTGAGAAATTTCATCTTTGGATGAAACATGCATTTGTAAGACTAAGTGCACGCAATTGATCTACTATGTATTTAGATGCTGGTTAGGAGCCTCTAGATTTTATGTTGATACAGACATTCTTTAAGAAAGCAAAATGGCAGGCGAAGGGGTAGTCAAAGAAAGGAAGATTAAGCAACATGCAACTCGTAAGCATCATTTCAGACATCCTTTTGCTAGATGTGGCATCTATTTGTGTTGATTACCCTCTTCCTATGATTTCCTGGCATTTGGTACAGGGATCAGTCATCTGTATCACAAAGGCCCCATGTAAGCAAATAAAAATGCCACAAAATTTTTATGTTGTTGGACATGCGTATCACACCACATGCAAGAAGATAAAAAATGCCACAAAATAAACCATAAAAATGGAAAAAGAAATGGCTGATCTGGGGAACCGGCCTACGTTAGGTGTCTGGTGTATTTGCTCTTTTGATCTATCATCAAAAGAAATCCCCAGAGGCTACAATAAAAAATAGGGATGCTGAGTTAAGTAATTTTCTTACCATAATAAGTTAACCTACTAGGAAAAAAAAATAAAGAATTGTGTATGCCAGTTTAATTAATTTTTTTGAAAAAGGTAAGGTAAATTTATTGACTGAAATCAGAACCATACAAAGAAGCTCCCAGGAAGGAGCGAAAGCTGAGAACAGCCCCTCTGTTTACAAATAAAGAATTGTGTATGCCAGTTTAATTATTACGTCTTTATCCTCTTCCTTTATTTCATATTATTGTCCTATGCATCCCTTTGTGATTACTTATAGTAAAAGAACTACTAGTCTACTATGCTTTGTTGATAACCATGTGCAAGATTTTCATTATGGTTAAAAACATAACCCCTTTTCACAGTTTCCCTTTATCTTGGCATCTGCCATTTTTTTTCTTAAGTTGAATTTTGAGTTTAGAACATGAAATCAGAATACAAGACAAGAAATTTTCTTCTATTTTTATTTTGGAAGCTTATCGGGTTGCATTTTTTGTGTGATCATCTGGTCCGAAGTGAATTAAAGACTATGCTTGTGCATGTTAGTGTCATTGTTATGATTGTGTCTTGATCCATTTTCTTAAAACTGAATAGAATCTTGATGCTTTGAAGCTGGCTGGTTCATGGCTCATCAATTTAACCATCTGGTTCCAAGTGTTTTGATTGGCAATATAGCATAATGTCATAATTTTAGTTATTTAGGATGATTTCTTTGAAGTAGTTTTCCCCTTCCAAAATTTGGCCGAATTTTGGTTGATTGCAAAGTCACTAAGTCAATTGTTTACCAAGCCTATATAGTATTTTCTCAGACCATCTGTGTGAAGTTTATTCCAATGCAGCCTTTGCTTGAAAAACAAAACCCCCACAAACAATTCCTTAAGAAATAAGACTAGAGAATGCAACATAAACGATTAATATTTTGCAATGTATTGAAAGAGAAAATAATATAAGAAAAATTAAAGCAAAGGTAATTTTAAATGAAAAGAAACCCTTTTTGAGAAAAATGTCAGCTATCTAACAATTCAGATTTAATTACATGGTTCAGTAGATCATAGATATGAAAGGAAAAATGGACATGATGGAATGAATTTGGAGTTTACAATCATTCTGCAAAATGTTGGAGTTGAAAAACTATTGATATCATTATACTGATGAATAATTCTTTTGTTATTGTTATTCGGAATAATTGATAGTTATTCTAAATTAATCTTGCACATCCCAATCCTGCTTCCTTAGGCAATAACTGGTGAATCCCTAAATTGTAAATTGCATCCATCAGAGGAAGAAGGTGATCAGGATTTGAAGATGGAAAAAATGTTAGGACTTTCCATAAAGCTTCTAAGTGATCTTAAGTATCTACTTTTATGCGACATGTAAAATATGATGTTACATGGTTTAGAAAATGAGTCAACTTATAAATTGTAATGATGTTTATCACATTGTGTAGAGCAATAAATAAAAGTAAGACCAGGTTTTTAGTTGTTCTGCATTTCTGCTAGACTTTCAACATGCTTATGCATGGGTGGTTTCAACATAAGTTCTAAGTGTCTCTAGATGTTGCCATTTTGTTCCATTTCATCATGTTCTTCAATAAAATGACATACCAGAAATTCAATGTAGTTGACTAGTTGTTTTTTGTTTTGTTTTTTCAGATAAAATTTTCTTCGTTACTCTGCAACTACATCAAAATACTCTGCTAATTATTCCACTTTGTATCCTGCACACAGTTTGTTTCCTGGATCTTTTCCTCAATGAACATTATGTCTCCAAAGAACTTCTAAATTGTTTTCAGATTGCTTCAGGCTTGTTTCCCAGATTGTATCCCACTGAAAATTAAGGTCTCACAGTCTTAATCACTTCTGGAATTGTCTCTAAGTAAATAATTTTTCCCCTCAAACAAATTTTCTTGGGGATGCAGTTTCCACCCAAAGCCACCCTAGCAGTGATTTCCATGAAACTTTCTATCATCACAGTGCTTGATCCTATTCATAATGATGTAAAATCTGCTGTTGAGTGGCTCCAGTAAAGTGGGATTTGATGCACTTTCTTGAAAGGCATGGGATATATACTGATCTTTATCATTATTCAAAACATAACTGTTGGAAATGATGGATTTTTTTGGCATAAATAAAGAAGAAAATCATTAAGAAGAAAAAGAAGTACAACAGAGGTGATAAGAAATCACCCCCGAAAAAGGATAAGAAGCAACTCCTGAAAACACCCTTACAATGACAAACCCCTCAAACTTCTCTAAAATCAAAATCACAACCTCATCCTGCACTTCAAAGTTCAAACGGCTCTTCCCACAGCTAAAAAAGAAAGAGCAGAAAAGAGACTAACATCAAATAGAACTTCATCCCCTCCTGCAGTTGTCCCTCTCTTCTTCGAAAATTGGCCTCCATTTTCTTCAATTTTTCTATAGACTTTTCTTGCAAATTCCTCACCCCTGACGTAGAATTACCCTAGGATTTTCCTCACCTCCAGATCTAACTCACCCTGCACAACATGAGTTTCATCAACTTCCACCTCCCTCTCTTGAAGTTATTCAACCAAGACCTCTTCACCTTTTCCTTTTACTTCTTTCAATAGGCTTTCTATATTTTCTGATCCCCATGGCCTGACTTGGTAGAAAAAAAATCCTGGAACAGGATTTGTGTGCCCAATCTGAACTCTTGGGAGAGTCATGGAATTTCTCAACTCATGCCTAGTTTGATTGTTTCTGTGTTGGAAGTTGAAATTTCAAATGAGTGGGACCGAGGATTTAAAAGGTGTGCCTAGGTTCCAGAGGTGAGGTGCATTTTATGGTATTCGCCTCACCTAGGCCCCAAAGTGTAGCATTTTCAAAAGGTGTGCGCCTGGTGCGCTTTTTTGAATTTGCACATTTTCGAAAATTTCACTTGCTTCGCTCACTCGCCGCAGTTTTAAGAACCCCCTATATGCTAATGTTGTTCATTTATTCATCCTAATAAAAGATATTTTTAAAAGGAATTAAAATTTTAAAATATTTTTTTTGTAGGGATTAAGAATTTAAGACCCTAACATGGATTTGTTTGGGCTTGCCTCAAGGGGCTTGGTACAAAGGTGGCTTGTAGAATCAGGAAAGCAAAATGTTTAACATCACATTAGCTTTGTTTTTTTGCTTTGTCATGTTAGCTATTTGAAGTAATGTATTTGGGAAAAAAAATAAAGAGATTGAGAGTTTTACATGCTTGAATATGTTTTATATGTTTGATCTCAATTTTAAAATTTCATTTTGAATATGTTTTACATGTCATGTTTATGTATTTTAATTTGAGATAATGATTTTTTTAAACATTTATTTTAGAATTTATGTATATTTTTAATCAATAAATATATTATGTATATTTTTTATTTTTATTTTTATTTTTTGCATTTTTGTGCCTTGCACCTCATGCCTCAGGTGCAAATGCCCCTTGCACTTTTTTTTTTGTGCTTTGTGCTTTTAAAGCACTGAGTGGGATATTCATTTAATTTGTTGGAAAATCTGATTGTTGTCAAGTGAATGCAGACTAATTTTTCCCTGTCTGGCACTTACAGGGTTTCAAAAGGAGTGAGAGATTTGCCTGGGAGCTTTCAGTCTGCTACTAGCAATGTACCTTCTGGAAAATCTCTTATGTACTTTGGCTTGCTGCTGGCAACTGGAGTGTTCTTCATTTTCATTGCATTCACCATGTTTCTCCCGGTCATGGTGTTGATGCCTCAGAAATTTGCCATCTGCTTTACCCTTGGTTGTGCTTTCATCATTGGGTCATTCTTTGTACTCAAGGGTCCAAAGAATCAGCTTTCCCACATGTCATCAAAGGAGGTATCTTAGTTGGGTTCTTTTTGCATGTTAACATCTCTCAGTCGTTTGTTTTTAGGGTAGAATACAGGGAACTACCTTGTACTTTTGGAGGTAGTGACACTTAGGTCCCTGTACTTTTATTTGCGACAGAGAATACCCTGTACTTTCAGATTCCAACACTCTGCTCCAGCTGTTAGCATTCCATCAGTTTTGAACTTTTCTGAGACCGTTTTGCTCTCTCATTTATTTAATTCCAAAACCCAAGTTCTAAACTTCATGGTGGATGCTCTACATCTTTCAACTGTTTTTTGTCTCTCTTAAAAAAATGAAAAAAAAAGAAAGAAGATGGGAAATATTCAGAACTTGGGTTTTGGAGATGCAATAAAGGAGAGAGCAAAATGGTCTCCTCAAAGTTCAAAACTGACAGAATGCTAATGGCAGGACCAGAGTGTTGGAATATGTACAGGGTATATCTCTGTTGCAAATTAAAGTTTGGGGACCCAAGTGTCAGTGACTACCCTCGAAGTACAGGGCAGATCTTTTGTATTTTACCCTTAAAATAAAGTATCAATTTAATCTCATTTGCAATTGTAATATCTGGTCCTTTTTCCCCAGAGGCTTCCCTTCACACTGGGATTCATTGGCAGTATGGTGGGTACCATCTATGTTTCTATGGTGCTTCACAGTTACGTTCTATCTGTGCTCTTCTCTGTGTTACAGGTATTAAATCCATCTTATATCCTTCAATTCTGTTCTTATTTTTTTTTTTTCTTTTTAATGTTTAATGATGGTTATTTTCATGTTAGTGGGAATATATGGGTATTAAAGTGTTCATGGCCATACAATTTGTAACTATGGTATTGTGTTACCATCTTTTTCTCCACCTGTCCATAAAGTCTTTCATTTTCCTTTTTCCTATCCATTTCTTCCCTATTTCATACTTGCTTATTGGCTTCATCAATTATTTTAATTTTTACCTCTCAAGTATGTGCTTAGGCCTTTTCTGTGGTGAGAGCTATATTAGTTATATCCTAACCTAGTATGGGGGTTGATCGTTGCTCAATTTTGTTTAGGTGAGTGCGCTTATATACTATGCTGTCTCTTACTTCCCTGGTGGGTCTTCTGGACTGAAGTTTCTTTCTTCAACTATTACATCTTCTGTATTGAAATGTTTTGGCAGGTGATGTTATTATCCTCTCCCCCTTTCTTTAATTGCCTCCCATTTTTGTTATTTTCTATCTCAAGTGCACGCCCATAAGAGTTGTAACATTCTGAGATACTTCTTCTTTTTCATGCATCTATCTGGTATTACAAACCAATTTAGAAAGATCAACACCCATGTATTGGAGTCAAATTGTTTTGAAATTAAATACAAAAAATGTTTTGAAATTGACATTTTTCATGAGAAATGAACAAGGAGATAAAGGTATCAGTTGCCAAAGGGTGCATATTTTTTTACTTGGATCCTGCTGACCAAATGTGGTATGGGCGTCTGAACATGATAAAAAGGGGCCAGGAAAAAGGTCTCATGTAAAGATTTAATGCTTGAGGGTTCATAACATCCATTCTCCCATTATATCCCTCATTTTTAGTTTCCTGAACTTTAAGATATATGAAACCATCAAATTAAATGACCATGCCAGTTTTAACACCATTGCTTCCTTATAAGAATGCCAATTTAATCCCAGCACTTTCTGCATGGTTACACAAAATTACACTCCCTCGTTATCTGCAGTTTCTTTTCCTGCTGCAGAAAAATTTTCCCTTCCTGACAAATATTTTTTTTGGTTCTTCAATGATTTGAAGCCGTTTCTGTTTGATGTTTAATTCTTCAGCTGCTCGTAAGGTTATCACAAGCTTTTGTTGTTTTCCAGCTTTAAAAATCTCTGCTAGTCAATGCATGGATTACCAATGAAGCTTGGCTTGTGAGTAGGGTGTCAACAGTATTCGAAAATCCAATTTTGAATTTGATATTTGACATAATCGAATCAAATTCGGATAATTTGAATACATAATCGGTTGAATTCGGATATCCTATTCTTATCGAATAGTTAATCGGATTTGAATTCGGATATGATCTTATTCGATTCGATAAATATTCGAATTCGATCGATTATTTAATTCTTATATACAATAAATAAAATATTTTCTATAATTTATATATTTATATACTTTATATCAATAAAATATTTATTTTTATATTTATTAATTATCTAAAATAATTAACTAATCAAATTCGAATCGAATATTCGAATATTTAATCGGATTCGAATTCGGATATTAATTTTCAATATCTGTCGGATGTCGAATTAAATTCGGATACTAGATTTTCTAATTGGATTCAAATTCGGATATTGTTTGATCCGATTTGAATTCGATCCGTTTACACCCCTACTTGTGAGGCTCGCGAGCCTAGTGTTAGATAAATAATTTTTATTATACATACATATATATATATAATAAATTTTTATAATTCTTAATTTTTTGTCTGAAAAATAAAAATAATAATTTTATACATATAATTTTTATTTTTAAAAAATAACTTGGCTTTTAGTCGAGCTCGAACTGAGCCGAGCTTGAACTTGTAAGCTATGAATCAAAACGAGCTCAAGCTCAAGTCTCTAGCTCGAATCGAGCTCAAGCTTGATACTATTCCTGTGAGTCGAGCTCGAATAGCCAAGTATTCGGCTCGGCCTGACTTGAATCCACCCCTACCAGTATGCATTATCTAACCGAACCAAAATGACTGAAATCGGCCCCAAACTCAAATCAGGTAATAGATACCTAATTTGACTTGTGTTTTTGCTTCTGATTCATCATTTTTTTTGTTGATAGAAGATTACTACTGATCAATCGTATAAAATTTTCTGAGAGAGATTTGAGTCTAGAGATAAGCCTTGGCAATCTGAGAAAGGTGTCAAAAGTTTCATTTTAAAAATTTAAAGAAGAATGATGGGCAAAATAGTCTTTTTAATCATTCGTTAACGGATGCTAACGGTAAGGAAGATTTAGTCAATTGTCAGAGACAATAGGGGTATAGTAAGTTAATTTTTTAAAACTTAGGAGTAGTTTGAGAAATTTGCCTATTAAACAAAGGGCAAATTTTTTAAAGTACCCCTATGATTTAGGAAATTTATTAACTCTGCCTTTATTATTTACATATTGTCTTAAAGTGCCCTTAAGTTTTTTCACAATTGATATCTTCGTTAAATACTAACGGAAAAAAAATTATGAAATGTTGAATTTTTCCCCTATTATTACTCAAATTTTCAAAATAAAACCCAATTGATGAAAAATTTCAAGAAGATGAGAAAGTAGATCGTGACTCTAACAAGGATGTTTAGTGAGATGGTAAAACCTCTCGACAACAAAACATGTTGCAATTCTTGTGAGGTTTATATATCTTCGCCAAGGATTAAAATGTCAATATGATACGCCTAATATTGGATTGCAATGATACGGTATACGATTGCAGGTGTATCCTGCCAGTCATGCATATGGGTCTGAGACGCCACTGTATCGGCGCGTATTGCATAGTATCAGTCGATACGCGCCGATACAGAAGCATATCGACCAACACTTCACAATAAAAAAATGGGAGGAATGTGACTTGAACCCAAGTTGATGAATGCCCATTGCCCAAGAGTGCATGTACATTAATCACAAAGCCATTTGTCATTATATGTTAATACCTGTAATAAAATAATTGTTATTAAATTTAAGGTTTACATGCAAATAAAAAACAATATGCATTTATTTTCAAAAACTTCAACTATAAATTAAAAAGGACAATACTCAAAATTAGTATTTTATAAATCAATGAAAAAAATAATTTATAAAATCCACACACACACATATATATATATATATCTTAATTTTTTATAAATTATTAATTAGTATATTAATTTGCATTAAATAACAATGTATTTATTATTTACAAAAATAAAAGTATTGTTTACAAAGTATTTGAAAATATAATATAAATTGAATCTATCAAATCCATTAATCTACATTTTATATAAAAAATAATTTTTAACTTCAAAATTTTATAAAAATAAAATATTAAAAATGGAAAATTATTTTAGTAATTAAAATTTATGAATTTTCATATGATATGCATTTACAAAATTTTAATAGGTTTGATTTATTTTAAGTTAAGATTATATATTTTTATAAATTATTTATAGATATTTTAATTTACATTTTATAATAACATATTTATTGTTAACAAAAATATAAATATTATTTATCAAACTATTAAGAATTAATATTTTAGTTGATTTTTTTTGTTAATGTTAAAAAATAAAAATAGAAAAATGATATAATAATTCAAATATAATAGTTGCATATGTTTTATGCCTTACATTTTAGTAGATATTAAAGTAACATCGGCTTTTTGCATGTATTAATTTGTAGAAACCTATATAATATTTGTCTTGGACTCTTGATTGATGCCTTATTAATAAAATTATATAATATTTATATGTCTTGTTATATTAATTATATTATTATATTTATATGTCTTGTTATATATATATATATATATATCATTTAAATATATAATTCCTACGTATTTATGTATTATTTATGGTTGTTTTGACATAAACGCTATTAATATATTTATGGAATTTGTCTTTTTTTAGCGTATTCAAGTGTTATGTTTTTTCGTCTGTATCCACATGTATTCATATCCGTATCCGTATTCAAGTTATCATACCAATACTTTAATCCTTGTTATTCACTCTCTATACATAATCACACACAATGATTGTGTGATAGAATTTAAATCAATGGAAGAACATTGATTAAGAATTGGCACATTGTAGATGGAAGCTCATATGCTTTTTTTCTCCTTGAAGACCAGCTTTATCAATACGCTGATTGGTTTCCAACACGGTGAAAACCAGATTTTTTCATCCTTGAAAAAAGCACATATGTAGATTTTTTTTTGATATATAAATAAAATGTGTTATAATAGCAAAATATCTATAAAGTTCGATGCATCTGGAACCCCCCAAGGGGTAATTAGACATATAAAAATAGTCTTGGGATAAAGTTTTGGCTCTTTGCGCCATCTTGTAGGCCGAAATATTAAAGTTCCTATATTCATGACACATGGAGAAAGAACTAAATTGACGCAAAAGATCCTTGGTCTTAGACAAAAGCCAGAGACAGACCACCATGGGAGGGATATCTTTGACTTCAACCGTTGAATAACACTAGTAGTCAGAGCATAATGATACGTTTGGCTTTCTCGACTGGGATGGAAAAATGGGAATTTCATGTGATTGTTCGTCGAGATGGGATGGGAAACCGTGTGATGCCAGTTCCCAAAATCAAGGATGCAGGGGCGCGCTGAAATGGTGTGACCCCGGTGAGAAAGAGATATAATCAAGGGAAAAAGACATTGAGCCTTTCGACTGTAGCTCCACTGCCAATTCTCACTGCCTCCTTGTGTCTATAACAGTCAAGTCTCCGGCAACATTTTTGACAATATCCAGCCGAAGTAAGACCAGATCCATGACCACCGATGTTTGGCGACTATTTTTATTCCATTTTTGGGTGTCATCGATCACCTTATGTTGCCGAGAAGAAATGGGCAAAGGGTGAAAATGGTGGCTTTGGTGTTTTCAAGCTTTGACGACCTCTCCCTTTTAATGGGGTTTTCATCTGTACTAGTAAAGGTGGTCTTGTTGTTCTCTCTCAATCTCTCTCTCTTTTTTTTTTCTTTGGTTTTTGTTGCCGTTTTAGGGTGCCGATAATATCAGGTTGCCCCTGTTTTGGATACCATTGGTTATGGCGGTTGTCTAATGCATGTAGATGGGGTTCCTTCAAGATCTACCAATATACTTGATTTATTGTAGCTCTCTCCACCATATTTTGTAAATCGAAGGCCAATTTTGAGTTTTTTATCACTAATGTTGAGTTCTCATGCTCTTCAAGCCTTGAAAGAGTTTTTGAACGACATCACATATCTAACAAACCAAACACAGGACACCCCAGTGAAAAAATAAAAATTTCTGTTTCTCATCCCATCCCTTCCCATTCTTTCCTTTCCCATACCAATTTTCTTAGAAACCAGACCATAGGATATGTCCTTTTGAGAATTGGGCTGCTAGCTTGATTCCCTACAAAAGAGCATTCAGTTCTACCTCCTCCACTGATCCCAAGTTCCTTGAAATCCCCCCTACAATGCCAAGACAAGACAAGGATTGAAATAAACAAATAGCACCAAAGGACCCGGTATAAGAAGAACGCATAGCACCAAATATGATTAGATCAACATTTGAGTTCACAGTTAGAGGAAACTTTCTTTGATTCATAGACATGTTTTGCTTATTAATGTTAGGAGACTAGGAATGGGAATGATGGTTGATTGAAAAATATTATTAATTTTCATAAGAATGGAATTAATTGAAACCTAATGATCTCTAAAGTACCTCTCATT